ATCAAAGGTCCACGATAGTTGAATCGTGGCCATGGTTATAACATATAATTAACCCAGCTCATGGTTGTAAAAAGACTCGAACACTGGACCCGGTGGACTTTCTACCTGCAAGCCATCCAGCAGATCGCTCCAAGCTGTGACCCCGTTCATGTCGGAGAGGGCCATGTGCAGTACAGGCACATGGCCGGCACCGGCTGCAAGCCATTCAGCCGCTTCGAAGGCCAAGCTTGGCATCTTTGAGAGTGACTTCCATTTGCTGAAATGAATCTGTTGCTTATGTTCCCCTGTTGGTTATAAAAGGAATCGATTTCACTACTGGACATATTTTTTCATTTTTTCCCAGGGGTCTTAACGAAATGGAAGTTGAGAGAGGTTAGGGTTTAGGGTACCAACGTTTTTCTTGTTTGTCTATTTTAGTAGGGGGAACCCTCCCCAAAAAAAGTTGGTAGAGAAGGGCACTACTGGAAAAAGGGTAATTGGGCACTTAGCTGGGGGACCTAGTAAACACGGTGAGCCGAAGCAGGGTCCGTGTCGTGAACCAAATCGCCACGCAGAGTCGCTGGGTTGCCTTCCAGCCACAAGTTCTCCTGGGTGATGTCGCTCTCATAGGTGCCCTTTTTGGGAAAATAGATGGGTTTGGAAGTCGATTGAACCACCAGGCAAACCAGGAACCGCCCTATATTTTTCAACCAAATCAACCCAAAAGGACACCTATGGAGTCGCTCTCCTGAACTTTCGTGGAATGTGGTTCCCTCAAAAAAGACAGAGCCATCCTTATGGTATCTGCCGGAAAAAACTCGTCTTCCCTGGCAAACATGGGGGGAGTGCAACCAAGGTTAACCATCCTCGTTTGTTTTGAACAAATAGGTTTTAGGGTTGACTAACATGAAGCAGAGTCTGAAAGTCTTCTGTTGCGCGTGCCCCAGATTTAGCCCAAGAAACCAAGTTGTCCAGGTCCTCGAGTAGAGGGTTCCCCTGCTAAAATAGACGACAGAAAACAAGTTGGTACCCTTATTCTAACCGCTCTACTGGAGGATCGAGGAGTGTCTTCAATTTGCGCCCACCTTTCCTCGTTCGCGACTGAGGAAGATGAGAGATCGCCTGAGGTCGCTCAAGGTCAAGGAGGACGACCAGGTGCATCAAGATCAGCTAAAGTCCCGGCGTGCCCTATTTTAGACTACCTGGAAGGTGGTGTTTGGTTTGAGGTGAGATCCCTGGGCAGGTAAAGGAGAAACACAGGGACCCGGACCCGATGGATGGCCCCTAAAAGGTAGTAGTTGACACCTCTTGGATGCCAGCCTTGTCCCAAAATGGTTTAGGTTTAAAAAAATGTGGGAGGGGGGGGCTTTGGTTCCCCTCCACACAGCTTGGATGTTGCGACAAGCTGTCACTGGGGCGGGTTGAGAGGCCAAGACTTTCGGAAGGGCCTTGCAACTTATCTGGTTCTGGAATCCCAAGTTTTTTGCGTCGGATGGCAAGTCGGAAGAGAACGCCACAAACAGGGTCTTCTTGGGCGGGGGCACGTCAGCGGTCCTGCTGACCAACTTCCTGCCATCCGGGGCTCCGCCTCGCGCAAGCGAGGCCAGGAGTCACCTTTAGGTGCGCTGTACTACGTGACAGAAGCACACACACACAACTACAAACCACATCAATCACCACGTGCTCATCACCGCGGCACTACCGACCGACTACGTTCAACAACTCCAACGTGATGGCTTACTTGACTACTTCATCAGAAATTATGTCAACTACCCCCAAAATGGTTAGTTGCCTTTTCATGTAGCCAATCAACTGGGGTTCCCCCGAAAAATACACCTCCCCATTTAGAGGGAGCCCAAAAAACAATTTGGTCAAAATGAGGAGTCCTTGAGTACGGAGTTTCAAAAGGGTTCCCCAAGCATGTTACGGCACCTCGATGGCCAAATCAATCTCAGCACAAATCCTTTGCCCTCGATTCCCTCGATGGATGCCAACTGTTAAATGGATGCAACCTGGCATCACTAGTGACAAGGGTGGCCTTTCTAGGTACCCTTTATCACTTGACCTTGTAAACCAGAGCCATGACCATGTGGATGGCGGAGTCTTTAGGGGACCCTCTACCACAAATGGGTACCCTCAAACAAAGACACACTCACGTGGGTATGGGTCAACGTTTTGCTCCACCAGGATATGGACCGCATGGTAAACTGTCCTTTCCATTTACCAGGGCTCTATCTTGGGTTCCTAATCTTGACCACCCATGTGACCAGGTTAACGGGAACTCCTTTTCAAAGACACTGCCAATCCGGTTTTACTTTCGCACCCTCTCTCAATCAACACCCAAGCGAAGCTTAAGGGGCAGTCCTCTTACCAGGTCAGAGTTCCTTCGCAGGGTCACCTCCTGTTTAAACATGGGCCACACCACTCTTGTGAAATCAACCTCCTTATGGTTTCCCTTTAAGGGTGGGCGTTTTGGTCTATGTGTTGTCCGGTCCTTTTCCTGAGGAGTACCATGCTAAGTGGGGCCTACAACCTCTAGCTATGACTCACTTAGGTGACTTGGGTTATAGCCAAACGGGGCATGCCCCACTTGCTGGTGCGATAAGTAGGGCACGTGGGAATGAACCCAGAATTTCCCTTCAAGGAAACCACCAGTGATGGTGTATCTCGGGTTCCTTATGAGCCCCCCAAAAACCATCCAACTGGTGGTTTCTTTTATTCGGGTATCAACAAAACGGTTCAATGGTTTATAGGGGTGGCTCCAGTTCTCATTCCCTGCATCTCTCGCGCCGAAGATCCAGCCATTTGGCTGTGGGTCAAAAATGGGTACCCAAAATGGCTCCTTTCTGGTGAATTCATTTTGAGCAACGCCCATTTCCTGCCAGCCCGACGACCTGGTCACGGTGTCCACGGAGAACGCGAAGAACCTGGCGCTCTCCGCCATGTGGTGAGCCCATCCCCCCGGTTCTCGACCAGACCAAAGGGTTGTGATTTCTGCGGTAAGTAGGTTATAACTCTAGGGGTATTTCCATTCTTTCCAAAAATCCGAATCTTTTCAGGAAGCCATCAAAAAAGACCAGGGGGAAACAGATCCGGTTTTTGAAAAGACTGCTGATTGAAAAGAATGGACAAGGAATCAACCCCTAGAATACCCATGGTTACTTGGGTAACTGGGGGTTGGGCCCTTAACCTTCTCACTTGATGAGTTCCGTTTCGGACTTGATCGTCACTTGGGTTGGTGGCCATTTTGGTGGTACACAACAAGTTTTGGACCTTTTTTGGGGCGCCGTCCACTCAGGAAGTGAGTTTATTGCAGACAAGGCACATCCATTTTGTCGATTCACAGGGTATTTCCCCGAAATCAAGGCTTTGGCTCTAAAATGAGCACGCCCCTCTTGCTAGGGCTTTAAGTAGTCCGACCGCTCTCCGACCGCTCCCCGAGTCCCGCCATTGGAACTTCCCCCCGTCTGGCGGACTTTTCTGTCATAGTCCGACGGAGGTACATCGACCAGCAAGCGGCAAAGGAGAAGCGAGAGAGGGACCACCCGGACGTGCAGGCGTGGGTGCTGAACCACTCAAGAGCTACATGGGGTATCAATTCCCCGCTTTGTCCATTGATACCCAGGTCGCGATTGAAAAACTTTGTCGACACTTAGAAGACATACTTTTCAAACGACAAAGCAACATGGGTATCGCAGCGCGAAAATGATATCAACCGCAGCCCAAAGATGATGTGATTTGGATTCGTCGTTTTGAAGTGACAGCTACCAGTGGAGGAAACCAAAGGCCAAACGAAAGTTTTTAAGAAACAGTTTTTTCTTATCTAAGGTCCGTAGGGTTTCTAGGGATTCTGTGGGCGGCCCTGGTCCCTGAGTTGCGACTCGATCTGAACCATACTGGTGGTTTCCTTGCGGATCCCAAATGCTCCACCAGAAGCCCTTGGAATTTCCAGTTGAACCGTTTTGACTGGAAAGCTGGCGATCAAAGTGGTCACCAGTTTTCCTTCATGTTGCAAAAGGAACATGAGCCACAATCAAAGCTCGGGTAGATGATTCGGTTAGGGACGATCACCATAAATAGCTGCGGAGTTCCGGCTTCTTAATCCTGGAAGCATGGTTCTGGGATTACCATTTTACCGATCGGTTTTGAGCAAGCGAGCGACTCACATGGGGTCGTTTCCGGGAGAAGACCCAAGAACCTTGATCAACGTAAGGCCTTGCTCAAGGCCCCCGGGGCAAGTGCCAGGGCTCCGAATAAAAGAACTTCAAATTTTGCAACCATTTGAGCTACATGTTGCTTTTTCAACACCAAAATAAAAGGACACCCCACTTACAAGTTACAATGTTCAAGCGTATAATGTAAGGATCCCTGCTGAACCCTATCCCCAACGGCAAAGGCATCTTTTGTGGGAAGTGTGTCCAAAGAAACCGTCAGTTGACGGATCCATAATCCAAACCGGCGAACCAGCGATTCGGCTCCGACATCCCAACCACCAAGGGCCAAGAGGGAAGCTGAATCCACTGAACGTGGTTCGGTTGAAATCCCCCCTTGCCACTTAACTGCTAAGGCTTAAATGGCTGTGGCTCAAAATTAAACGATCGGAGGGGCAGTTGCGCAGGTTTTGGTACCCATGTTTTTCCACTTACCGTACCCGGGCAAGCCATTTTGGGAATTTCCGTTTTTTTTTTGAATTCGCCACGGCCACATGCCTTTGGACCCAAAAGGGGAAAGGCCCGAGGGGTTTGGAGGTGTTTGGTTGCCACAGCCCAATGTTTGCTCCCCTTACGTCAACGTCAACCGCCGCTAGGAGGGGCGCTGAACAAATGTGTTCGGTCAAAAACCCAACGCAACTTGGGGCTCTGGGGTTGGAACACCTTGCCAGGACAAGGTGTATACTGTATATATATATATATATATATGTATCTATATACATATTAGCATCTACACATATGTGTACATATATATATATACATATGTATATATCTATATATGTATACCTATGATTTCCAGGTGCTTTGGGAACCCGAAGGGGGTCCAGCTTGGTTTCGAACCACGCTTGAGATCCAAGACCCTTTTGGCGGAGCTACGTTTCGGGGGGTTGGAGGGGAGCCGCCCCCTTCTAGGAGCACCCCTCCCCCCCCCCTCCTGAACCCTTTGGGTTCCTTGCGTTCCTTACTGAGCCTTTGGGACCCCCCTGGGGAAGAATTTGTCTGAATGCGATTTCTGAGCTCCAACATGAAGTTGGGAGTCGCCCCAACTCGACGCGCCAACTCGTTGGGGGATGGGTGCGTTGAGTTGGTACCCCTCTTTTTGGGGTTCCAAAATGAGAACCGACTTGGGTAGTTCCCCCAAAAAAAGCACCCCACCGCTCTTTGTTTTTTTTGGGTGTTTCAATGGAATGACAGCCACTTTTGGCGGTTTCCTTAAACAAAAAAAAAAAAACACCCATTTTGGTTTGACGAGCTTGTCTCCAAGTGTCCCTGGCATGCATGGTGACACCTGAGTTGCTCGTCACTGCTAACCTCCCTAAGTCCCAAACCGCCCCCCGCCCCAAACTCGGAAGCTTCGCACGGGGAGCCTCCGCCCCGAATTAAGCATCAGGTATTGCGCCAACGCTATGACGGCGTCGGGTTCTTGGCGGGGAATCTGTGAGCGCGTCGAGAAACAAAACGCATGTGGGGGGTCTCATTTTTTGAGTTGGTACCCTTCTGAGGGGTTGCTTCAAAGGAAAACCCAAGCGGACGCCACCCCAAAAATGGCTCCCTCAAAAAGAAGCAAACCCTTCTGTTGTTTGCCTTCCAGTGTGTTCATCACTTGCCCATGTTGTAAAGCGGAAAGGAGATGGTTTCCGATCAGAGCTTTGGTGGTTGGGGGTAGCCGACTTTTCGTCCGGCGAGGCATGTCAAAGGGGTCACTCCCTTTTAAGGGGATGCCAAGGGAAATGTCAAAACACCCTTTGTGAGGCTGGCATACCATCTATTCGTGTGTTGTTTGAGGGGTGTGGTCTGGTGAAGAAGTTGGCGGGCAGGATATGTCTGTTCGAAAAGGAGCTGGGCCCTTTGTTGTGGCCGTTGTTTCTTTTAACAATTTCGGGGTTTCCCCTAAAATAGACTCACCCAGGTTTGCGATCCGAAGGAACCCATACAGAAACACCCAGGTTCTCCAATCGGGTTGCACAAAGTCATGTTGGTTGGGGGGAAGCCAACATAGGTGTCTGTTTGAGGGGAGGGTCTGCGGGCTAAGTAACTATTAGCAGTTGCCCTACATGATCCCCACAACATGGTTCTAGCTATGTGGTCTGCGGCATCTTTAGGCGTGTCGCTTTTTAGGGGACCCCCTGAAATCAGGGCTTTCCTTTTGGGAAATCCCCGTCAAATCAACCAAAGGGAGGTTCCCTTAAACAGAAGAAGAGAAAGGACGAGCCACCCATAGGGAGTTTCCCGCAAGGAAACGTTCGGAGCCTGGAGGTCTTGGGGGGTGGCCTCGCATTACCCAGGAAGCGCATGGTTCTGCCTATTCTACTTTACTGCTATTGGGTTGGATCTTTAGACTTTTGCTTTTTGGATTCCCCTCATATTTGCTTCAACAAGCAAAAAGTTGAACTTTTTGCTTGGGGATCTACAGCACCCAAGTTTATGACGTGATCTCACCGAGGAGCTGGGGTATGACAAAGGCCCTGTACTTGGGGGTTCAGCTACTGCTGACCGTGTCACACGGACGAGGCTCACCGAAAGGAAAAGGAGAAGGGATTCAGCTTTTGGAATTATAGTGCAATTTGCAAATGGTTGGAAGTGCACCATGCGAAGTCGAACATCTGAGTACAAAAGTTGGGAAGTCCCCTTTTCGTGAGTAAAAGCGAATCTCAGCGAAGTCGACCTTCTGAGAGGAATCCAAATGGCTTCGCTCCTTTCTATTTTGCTGTAAAAAAATGAGTCTGGGGTCGTCCCAGCGTCCCCAAAAAAGCTGAGGCGCTTGAGAGGCGGGGGTTTCACCTCGTCCACGTGCGGTTTTCCGATCGGCGGGGTTTGGGCACATGGCTCGTGTTTTGTTTGCTGGTTCAGAGCCCAGAGCCTCCAAATTGGCGAACCCGATTCAGAACCATAACTGGGTCAATTTTTGCGAGCATCCGAGACATTTTTGCCCTTGATGCCGTGTAACCCTGGAGGGTATGGGCTGTTTTGTTGTTCTTTCCATTTCTTGACGGATACCCTTCACCCCCCACAAAAGAAAGAAAGAAAAGAAAGAACACCCCCCCCCCCCCCGGAAAAAAGAAAGAACAAAAAGAAGAAGACAAACAACACGAAAACAAAGAAAGAGCACAGAAACAGAGAGCAAGTGTTACCCTCCCACAAACAAGCACAACAACAAGAACCTGCACGCGCCCTTTTTTAGTTTGGCTCAACTTCTTTGGTGCATTTTGCTTGGATGTTCGGACTTCAACTTTTTGCCAACGAAGAGGGTTTTCCGTATTAGATTATTAAAAAATAGTAAGTCAGAAACTTTTAGCAGGGGAGCAGAAAGCAAGCGAGACTTGGCGGTTCCCAGCCATCCGGTTCCTTAGGTTTTTGGCCTTTTTTTAGTTTGGCTTAGTAGGAGTTCCCCCTATTTCACCCACTAGAACTCCCATCAAAAGTTCGTTGACCTGTTCGCTGGGGATCTGACAGCTGAGACACCGAGCCCTTTCTTTCCAAGGGCTTAAGGGATGTTTATGGCCCAAGGGAACTTCGTGCGCATGGACGCTACGAAACCAGTGAGCCGCATCCAAAAAAAGTCGAGACCTAGACTCTCCGAGCCTGACCCTTTAAAAGTGGGTTCATGACCCGAATCTTTCTTTTGGGTAATGACCAACCATTTTTAAAGGATCATGGAGAGTCTAAGTAGACTTGTTTTGGGTCTTTTGCCCCCTTGTGGCTTTGAAGGAGCTCCCCAGGTTAAGAAAAGCTTGCTCCTTGTGATTTTGTCAGGGCTCCTTCAAAAAGGATGGGAATTTGGCCATTCAAAAAATTTGCTTGTCGTTTTTGAGGCCACCCTTTTGAGGGCACCCACAAAAAAGGGAAACCAAAAGTAGAACCGATGCCATTTTTGAACGGGCCCGGCACGAAGCCACTCTTTTTTGACCAAGGGAATCCACCGATTTTGCGGGGGTGCGCAGGCGGAAGCCTCAAGTGGCGATCGTTTCGGAACCACCAGATTGATCGACTTGGTGAAGGTTGGCAATCCAGTGACCCCTAAAATGTGCTTCCATTTCCTCAAGTTATTTTTTTTAAATCTTTTAAACCCAGTGTCCTGTACCAGTTGGTGGGATTGTTTTCCATTTCCAAAGTTGTTTTTGTATTCCATGTCCATAAGAAACTTCTTATCCCCCTGGGTTTTACCCCGGAGCTCTCGTTGACCCCTGACATTTGCTTCCATGTCCTTAAGACGATTTGTGGGTGCGTGCCATTTGCAAGTTTTTTTTTTGTAAAGGCTTGAGGGCGAGGAGGACGCCGCGCGCCCCAGCGCAGAGCGCACGGAAGCCCAGCGCGAGGGCGAGGTAAGCCGAGCGGAGAGCGTGGTGGTAGCTTGGACTCTCACGCCAGCCACACACACACGGCAGAATATATATATATATATACATATATATATATATATACCTGGAGTCTCCTTCTGACCCTTTCAAAATGGGTCCATGACCCGAATCTTTCTTTTGGGTCATGACCAACCATTTTTGAAGGGTCATGGAGACTCTAGGTACACATAATGTTGACCATTTTACAGTTGTATAAGATAAATATGTGTATACATATATATATATATATATCAAATATGCACACATAGAAGCGATAGTATGTAGATGTATATACATATATATATATATATATACAAGCAACACATTTGCACGTGTCCTTTCTTCCTCCCTCTCCCTCTGCACATGTAATTCATAGACATTTACATATAATGATAGACAGTCATATCTATGCATACAAATGCATATCGCAAGTTCCTCTCATTTCTCAAGTTGGTAGACGTTTTTGTGTGTTTCTGGGTTTGGTGAAGGAAAAACTCGCGGCAACAGAAGGCTCCGATAAACTCACCCGCTGAAAGCTATGGGCCGAAATCAGACTCCGTCTTGGCTTTTGGGGTGGGTTGGTCTCAAAGTCGGGGAATCCCTTTCTCTTTTTGGTTGCCCTTTGAACTCTCCTGAACAAGAAAACCCTCCAAACAGGCGGGTCTTTTTTCGGTTTCCCTTCGAACCCTCCTGAAAAGGGTAGCCTTTTTCAAAATTCAGACCCATTTCAGACAGCAGGTGGGTCCGGATTCACGACCACCAACCACCTGTATGGGCAAGGATCCCATAGCTTTCATGTTGGGGAAAAAAAGAAACGAGCCACAGCCCTGTAAGGCTTTTGTTAGGGGACCCACCAAAAAGGCTTTGCCTGTTTTTCTGAGGCCACGGGCATTTGGAGATCCCGGGGGCGCTTGACATGGACGAGCTGCCGGGTCTCCGAGCCTCCGAGTCGCTGTGCAGGTCTTGTGTTTTTCCTCTTGGCTTCCCGTAAGAAAAACCGAAGCTTAGGCTTCCTGCGGCTGCCTTTGGCTTCCTTTGGCTTTTTTTTTGGTTTTCTCTTTGTTGGGGGTCCAAACTTAAAGACGACAGCACATGGGTGGCTCGTAGTTTTGTTCAAAGGTTGGGCCCCCCTAAGATGGGTGTTGACGGGAAGCCAAAAGGAAACCCGAGGCTGTGTTTGGGGGTCCCCGACAGAAAGAGACACCCGCATTCATTGGTTGGTAGAGGCAAACCCATTTGCTGAAACGAACATGCTGGCTTCTTTTTAAACAGATCCTCGTTGAAAAGTTGGAATTGTATTTGGGAATATGTTTTAGTTTTTTTCCAGGAAGCAAATGGAAGGAGACAACATGATTTTAAAGGGCATTTTGCTTTGAAAGGTTGGACCAATCAAACATGGCGCAATGGTTCTCCTTTTGCTATAAGGGGTACCCTCAAAAAAGGCGACCCATCATGAACATCCAGGTTCGTTGCATTCCCAAATGGGAGGGTTTCCCCTAGCCTCCAAATAGGTCTTTCCTAGACTTGGACCTGCTATGCGAGAAACGTTTCCCGTATGGCGGTTGGGGCTCAAGTCCTCCCAGCTCTGTCTGCTGTTCTTTATGCATACGCGCGGAAAATTCAGATAGCCCACAAGCCCTGATTTTTGGAAGCTCCTTTTGCGGTGCCCGAGTTCCATGTTTTTCAAGGGTTGGATTGGTGGAGAACTAGCTTCAACCGAGGTACCACCGCGCGTCCGTGAAGCGTGTGGAGAGACCCGTGAAGGATGTGAAGGCGGGGTTGCTTGGGTTTGTGAAGAGTGAATAGTTGCCTTGCTTTGCTCGAAAGGTGTGAAGAACAAAGGGAGTAACAGTGCCGCCTGGGGGAAACCATATGTGAGCTAACTGTACCCACTGGTGTATGGCAACTCATTGTTACTCACTTTAAAAGGAAAGACAGACAAGCTGGTTGTTTCTTCCAATTCATCCAATTATACATCTTATGTTGAATTACATGGGTCCGGGCAGGGATATATATATATACACATGTACATATGCACCCCCCACCCCATGGACCGATGGTAAATCTAGAATCTCAAAATTTGATTCTCGAAATTTCCAATTGTGGGTCCCCAAAGCCTGATAATTTGTTTGGAGCCCGGAGTCCTCCATAATGGTCCAATATGATGCTCTTTCCAACTAGGATTTTACTTCAACTAGAATTGGATTGTTTAATATAGTTTAGTGAGGATATAGTTTTCAAAATGTGGTTATGTTCAATTGCAGCTTACATAAGCAAATCCATTGCAAATAGGAGCACCATGAAAATGTGTATATAGTTTCGGGTAAACACCAACTAATCTTTAATAAAGGAAGTTAGATAGGAGTGTATTCCCAAATATAATCTAAGCGTCAAATATAATCTAATACAAGCACAATTCAATTAGCTTCTGATAACACGAATTAAATTGAGACTACTTCTCGAAGAAAGTTCATAGAAATATGGCTATGGCTAAACATTCAAGTGACTTCTGCAAGGAAATTCGAAATATGTACATTCTGGCCCTTTTGTAGTATAAGAAAGGTCCGACATTGAACTTGTTAGACAGTGTTCCAAAGGGAAATTTCAAGGGAAGAGAGGCTCAAATTCTAAAGCTATCTCGAAACAGGGATTCTAGCTAAATCAGTTGTATTTAAAGTTCTATTTGCACAGCAAAAATAATCATTCTATCTCAAACGGTGGAGGTGTTGGATGAGCAAATGTGGACAGGTAGTTCAAGAGGGGGAGGGGGTGACGGTGTGTGAACATACATACATATATATATATATATACATATACATATATATATATGCACACATACATACACACACACACATATATATATAGTACCCCTAATGAACCTGCGCCTCCTCATAAATAGTGTTTTTGAGCATTGCACCTACCTTTGTTTACTTCCTGGAAAAGGGTCAACATGAGCATAGCTGACATGAAGCAGATTGGTCACCAAAAGCACTTGCAAGTTTGTCTAACTAAGAACTTAAAAGACTTTTCCACTGGATCGCTAAGCACTTGAACTTATTTTACCACTGGATGGAATATTCAAGATTGAAGATTACACAGAACACTTTCCTGAGAATTCTCAATCCTGGCCAATCCGAAAACGTACCTGTTGCCCGCCGCCCGGAAGTCGGAAGCGGGTCCCCGAGACCTCCAAGAAGCGTGGCAGGCACAGCGAAAACGCACCTTCCGGGCCCCCCGGCCCCACCTCCATGCTCCATACCCCCTTCATGGAGCGCGGCGAGTTGTCCTGGTTATGTACTGCTATCATCAACGCAACCCGAAACCTAAACCTGAAAAGCCAGCCTCGGATGCAAGGGACAGCCAGCTCCAAGCAAACCTAAACCCTAGAAACCCGACACCTAAACCCTAAAAACCCTAAACCCTAAAAACCCTCAACACCCTAAACCAAAGCCCTAAAAAAAGCAAACCTAAACCCGAAAAAACCTAAACCCTAAACCCTAAAAACCCTAAACCCTAAAAACCCTAAACCCGAACAACCCTCAAAACCCTAAACTTAAACCCTAAAAAACGTAAAGCTAAACCCGGAAAAAAAACACCGCTACCTAAACCCTAAAAACCCTAAACCCTAAAAACCCTCAAAACCCTAAACCCAAACCCTAAAAACAGTAAACCTAACCCGAAAAAGCCCTAAACCTAAACCCGAACAACCTCAAGACCCTAAACCTAAACCCAAAAAGCCTTAAACCTAAACCCTAAAAACCCTAAATCTAAACCCTGAAAACCCTGCATACTAAGACCTTGTGGGCGACACGTATGTTTTGTGGGAACTTATTTTACCACTGGATGGAATATTCAAGATTGAAGATTACACAGAAAACTGTCCTGAGAATTGTCAATCCTGGCCAAACCGAAACAAGGTTCAAGTTCTTCTAACACTTGAAAGTGCTTTACCACTGGATTGAGGATTCAATATTGAGGAATCCACAAACAACAACTTTCCTGAGAATCATCCATCCTGGTCAACCCCTAATGTTCAAGTTGTTCTAAAACCTCCAACGTATTTTACCGCTGGATTGAAGATTCGAGATTGAGATATTTCACGGAAAGCTTTTCCGAGAATCTTATTGAACACTGAGAGTATTAGGACATTGGGACAACCTTTTTTTGACATATACATATATATAGAATATAAACAAAACACAATACAATTATTGGATTCAAGATTCAAGATTCCCGCAAACTGTTTTCTCAGATTCTTGAATCTTGAATCTCGAATCCATATTTGATCTAAAAAATGGTATCAAATTCTGAGTTGTTCTAATACTCTTGGATGCATTCAAACTCTTTCAGATTGCAGATGCTGATGTCACTGCTGTTATCACACATGTATGCATGCATGCATATCATATATACATTTGGCACCCCCCTAATGTTGACACAAAATCCAAGAAGCAACACAAGGCATAAGCCACTGGAAAGTACAGGTCAAACGCTCCAAGCCAGGGTCCACGGAATATAAAATATGTGTTTGTGTTGGGAGGATGCTTTGGTGAACCCCTTCGGTGGATGCTTAGCTTTACTATGGGACACACAAGCAACGCGAATGGTCTCCAAGCCTGGACGCAACAAACCGTCTGTCCAAGTTTGCCGCTGAGGCTTGATTCCGGCAATTCGGGTCTGTCGTTTTTCCGGGGAACCCCAAAATGGGTGGCTTTCCTTTTGGTTTCCCTTTGAAATCACCAAGAAGGGGTACGGGTACCCGCAAGAAACGACATACCCACTTTTGGGGAACCCTCTTTTGATGGTTGTTAAGGAGAAACCAAACGAAAACCAGGCAGTTTTTGGGGGGGGGTCCAACCTAAAAAAACAGACATCCACATCAAGGTCCCCCAGTAGTGTCCTTTTACTCTTTTTTTGGGGAGGGCTCCCCTACTAAAACAGACTACAGAAAAAAGTTGGTACCCTTCTTCCAACCTCTCCACTGGAGGACCTATATATATATATATGGCTGGGGCTGCAAGGAACAAAGCCAACATAGCCTGGGCTCGGGAAGGTGTCAGCTCGGGGAAAAGGAACACGGAAGGTTTGATGCGCCTTTCGTCGAGGATCTCGAGGATCGAGTCCTGAGGTCCTTTCAGACTCGGTGATGGGATCGGCCAATCTGGGCCGAGGGGACGTTTCTAAGACCCTCACTGGGATCTCCACTCTGCACGCCCAGATCTCAGCCCCCAAAGGCCCCCCTTGGGTCGGACTCCGGACCATCCGGTTGGAGGGGGTCTCTGAGGTCTCTGGTCTCGGGGTCTCCACCACTATGATTCAAGCACGAGCCATCACAGACTCAATTTTTTGAGCAGAAACACTCCTCAGGCCCGCTCTGCTTTGCAATCGCACGAGCCATCACGAACTCATGATTGAGGTTTTGCTCAAAGACCCAGGCCCGCTCTGCTTTAATGCAATCGACGGGTCTTCCATACCTCGACCAATCCGTGTGAAGTTGTGCCGAGGTTGCAACCTACTCGCCTGGAGCTGTCTTTCCAAATTTGCGAGACCCTCATTTTCTGGCATGTTTGAACTAAGCGTCGCGCTTGTTTCATTGGGACCTACCGGTAAATTGATCGACTCTTGATTTGGCTACATCCAGGGTTGACCCTTCAAGCACAAACCACCTGGTTGCAAATCCAACCGGCCCTGGGTTTTTGGCAACACCTCACCCATGGAATCGGATCCTTGCGCAGGGTTTCCCTTGGTTCGCTGAGTGATGATTTACGCAGAACCATGACAGGTGGAGGAAGATGAAGAGGAGGAAGGCAGGCCAGTTGGCACTGTGGGGGAGCTGGTTAGAGGACCCATTCATAGACCAGAATTTGCAATTTGGAGCTACGTGTTTGTATCAGCTCTTGCCCCTCTCTCATGTCAATTGTGTCGATTGAAAAAGCCTGTTTTGGAGTTGTCTTCAATGTATTCGATGGAAAGCACATTGATCCCATCTACTTTGGGGCTTCCTCATTCTGAGACAAACCCCAGGGGAGCATGCACGCTTGCAACTCCTGTGAATTGCAATTTTTATGGAGCCGTTTGGCGCACAGTTGTGTGAGACCCATGAGGCCCATGCGGCTGTTTGCGCCCAATGCGTGGTGGCGGTTACACGACAAGCTGGAGCAAAATGAGCGAGATGAGGGGCTTTGTCTTGCAGAATGCTACCACAGGCAGACAAGGGAGGATTTTCACCTCGTGGGGCTGGACGCTTGCCGCCTTTGCCTTGCTCTGGCCCCGGGGCGGGGTGTCCTGTCTTTCCACAGCTGGAGTTGCAGGAGTCGCTTTCTGCGTTGTGCTGTGTTTTGGCGAGACGAGGGGCCAACGAAGGCGAGACGGGAACGCGAACTGAAACTGCTCACGAGTTCATGTTGCGTTGCTCGTTTCCATAAGGGGGCCGCTGTGAGACTTCGAATTTCGATACCCCCTTTGAAGACAAAAGAGGCTTTCCAAAAGTGTAGAAGCTTACCCAGTTGCTTAAGAAAAGGGTTCCAAAGGCCAAGTATTGTCAAGTGAGGAGTTTGTTATTTGCCCGAAGGGGTTTGTTTTTTTCTTTGCCCTTGAGACTTTTAGATCTCGACCTTTTGCTTGGGATTTGGGATTCGCACTCTCCTCCATCTGTCAAGGCGTTATTTGGCCTTACTCTATATTATTTTGCGTGCAATGAGGCTTATCAACCAGAGGTTTTGGTGGTTGGCAGGGTTTTCTCATGTGTGTCTTACTCCGTTCCCTGTTAGCCCTAGATCTCTCCAAGGCCCTTGCCAAGGCCATGA